TTTGTCTATTTTTAAACTGGTTGTTCTTTTCATTCACTTTTAATATGCTGTAAAAAGAATGATAAACAAATTGGTGGGGATTTAACCTTAATCTCAAAGCCACATTGGCCAATCTGAAGCACTTTCTTTAAAGGATTCAGATGAAACTGGAGGTAACTTAATTGATATTAAAGATATTTGATTTCACACTCCTGGATCTTGAGGAACATTTTCACTCTGATTTCAGACAAATCTCTGGCTACAGAGTTGGCAACACTGAAATCAACATACAACAAGTCTAACATCAGTTGTAGAAAAGCTACCTTGCAGAGCTTCTGACTAGTGAAAAGAGTCCATATTGCTAGAATACAATGCTCGTTGTGTAAAAAAAAAAAGGAACCATTCACTGTTTAACACTCTTTAACGTCAGTTTTTATACATTTTGCTGATACAACAGGACTGACAGCTGGAACAGGTGCTTTTGGAAGAGCCAAACATTTGCTCGATGGATTTATGTACATATACCTCTCACCCACAAGTTATATGCTATACAAAACATAAAATGCTAAGTAAAGTTTTCTATGCTGCTAAAAATCTACAAGGTCAGAAGTCAGAGATTTAAAAAAAAAAAGAAAAAAGGAGAAGAATCTCATGTTTAAAAAGGATGTGATGGTGTGTGTGTGAGAGTGTGTGTGTGTGTGAGAGTGTGTGTGAGTGTGTGTGAGAGTGTGTGTGAGTGTGTGTGTGTGTGAGAGAGAGTGTGTGTGTGTGTAACCTGGGCTAATGGGCTCTGCTCTCAGCTGGATCATTACGTGACAGACTGAGGTGTCGGGGTCGCAGTCACAGTCTATTCACACACACACACACACACACGCACACAGTAACCTGTAAACACACATTATTACATATACTGTGCACACACCCGTGAGCTGTCCTGACGGGTCAAACTGAGCCGTGTGTTTGAAACTTGGTGAACTCAAGTTTCTCTTTCCACTGAACCACCCTGTTCAGGTAGGGACACACACACACACACACACACACACACACACACAAACACACACACTGATGTAAATTCACACACACAGTAATGAAACATACAGATGAAGGCTGCTTGTTTCTATAGCGACCGCTTTACCAGCTCACACTGAGCAGATTGACTCGTTAGGACGGCCACCGCGTCGCTAACGAACAGCAGGCTCTCAATTATCATCGAACACACAGGTTTGTGATTCAGCTGATTCCCTGAGGACCATAATAATAATAATAATAATGATAATAATAATGATGATGATGCACTCTCAGGCTCTGTATAAGCCCATCTCAAGCAATGACAGCAGAAAGTCAATAAGATTCAGCGACTTTAATGTCAAAATAACCGATGAGAGAAACCAGGTGAGCAGAGGAAGTGATCAGCTGGTTGCTGGTCGTGGCTGATGGTTTGTCCTTAATGGACTTTCCAGGATGTGGTTGCCAAGGTAACCCTCTAACCTATTTAACATCTCCTCATATGTCTGTCAACAGCTTCTTAATCGCTCGCCACCTGTTAACTTCACATTGCCATTGACTCGTTGTCACTGACTCTCTGTGCTCTGGTCAGCACGTCACTGCAAACCTGCTGCACATTTACAGCATTACAGTTAGTACTGCACATACTGCAGTACATTAACATACACTACTCTTTTACCCATAGAGTTTACTGCAGTACTTTTGCTATAGTAAATTTACTGAATACTAACAGTGAAGTCCTTTATCACAGTGAGGACCTCACAAGGTGAAACATTTACAATGGTTCTCACAAGGATATATTTACAAGAACACACACACACACACACACACACTCTACCTGTAGCTCTTTGGGGGGCCGTGACTTTCGAGTAGGAACTCCTGAACATTCTGCAGAAACAAACAAACAAAAAAGAAGGTTGTTTGTTTTCTTCTTTGTCTTTTATTTTGTTTTCCAGCTGCACCAAAAACTTATTTCATAAACAGAAATAATCCTGCTGAAAACATCTTTTCATGTAAAACGTCTCCTCGGTATGAGAGTTATCTGAAGGCCATTATTTTCTCTGTCGACAGTCAACACTGATGAAAGGATCTGATTTCAAACCCACAGCAGCAGCGAGCGCATCTCTTACTTCTCACTCTGTGATCTCCATTCAAACCTCATCTGCTTTTAAAGATGACCTTTGCCATTTGGGCCAATGGGAGTCTTTCCCCTACAAACAATGACTGTGAATGAAACTATTTTTGAAAGTGTTGCTGTATCGTGATGTCTGAAAGCTGAAAAGTTTTACCTCCACAAAGCTCAGCAGTTTTCCCGTTGACATCTCGAAACCCTTTTTGGCCGCCTCGCTCTTCCGCAGCTGACACTCCAGGACGGCCGCTCTCTTCTTCAGCTCGTCCGACTCCTCCTGAGATCAAAAACATTCAGGTTCTGGACATTTATGATCTTCGTCTCCTTGCTTTTCCAGCTCCATATTTTTAATGCTAAACCCTAATGGAGTTTATTTATCTCGTGTTGGCCTGCGCTCATCCTCTGCATGTCTCTTTGCTCTGATTGGTCGACTTCTGGAAGTCCGTCGAGTACCATCTTTTCCGAAGTGACCCATGCACCGGACAGCCTGATGGGAATAGAAGACTGATTCCATCTGGGGTCACGTCTTGTGCACTTCCTGTTTCACATCTCGTCCTTTAAAGAAAGTAGTCCTTACTTCCTGCCCACAGTTTTTCCCACTGTGATTACCTGCTGAGCTACCCCCCTCGGGTGTCACCGCTTCCTCCCTGTCTGTTTAAATACTTTTGCATCAAGCTTCTCTTCAGTAAAACAAAAAGCTCATTTTTGGCTCCTGTTTCTGCTTTAACTGTAACTGGCTGTTACACGTCCAACCTTTTCAGTTCCCTTTCTCAGCGCTTTTTAAAACGATCATAAATATGTTAAATTAAAAGCAGTGGAGCCGGCAACCCTGAAACAGGTCATTTAACTGTAAATTAGTGTTCGATGAACTGGTTCACGGAGACTAAAGCAGACACCACAAACACAGACAGGAGCCAAAGAGGCCAAACATCTTACAAAAGTCTCATTTCCTGTGCTTGTCTTTGGTGCGTGACCAGTAAAAGCTGTTAATGAAAAGGAGGAGTGTTTGCATGCAGTCGTGCTCTGGCGTTTGGACAAAAGCTCTTTGTTTCCAGTGTGAGCACTTTTGTTTCTTTCTGCAGACTTTTGTTTTGTGCCGATGGCTCAGAGAAACAACGCTGAGCGGATTTCTGCAAAGCCTACGTCAGAGAGGGAAGCGGCTCTGTCACCAAATACACCTGACCCACATTCAGGCCTGAAGACGAAACCAGGACCTGGAGCAGCAATAACCCGGCAACAAAAAGCCTGTATTTTTAATATTCCCCTTTCATTGTTCCCGTGTTGAGAGACAGAAGCCCAGGCTGCAAACATGCTGCACTAAAGTAATAGAAAAACCATTACATGACAGAAAGGTTGCTGTTTTTTCACTATCATCATAGAAATGTTTGATTTTACGATGACTCAGCGACGATCTTTGCGGTCTTGGGTCAATGGGTTTGCTTGGTGGCTGGTTGGACGGTGCAGTCAGCTGCCTTCCTGCTTCCTCATCCTTCCAGTTTTATAAATGTGCCACATAACTGAAGCTGAAAATGATTTCACACATAATCTAGAGAAATAAAAGTACTTAGCTGACCGGGACTCTGCGGTAATCGTCAGAGAGCAGCTCTGCTCGGTGCCTACCGTGAACTGATCCATGTGGTGTGAGTCACCTTGTTGGCTGGTGCCTGGTGCTCCATCCTCTGAGTCTTCAGCTCTGCGATCTCAGCCTCCAGCAGGTGGATCACCTCCTCGTAGTCCATCTCCATCCCTCTGGCCTGCTTCTGGGCTGCCTCAGCCAGCTGGATTCGAGTCCTCAGAGCTCGGCTCTCCTCCGCGCTGTGTTTCACTTCCTGTCAGAAAGAGTGGAGGAAGAGGAGAGGGGGAGGATGGGGTAGAAGAAGAACCTGAGGGATTACTCAGTAGACTTTCAGTGGTGCTTTCAGGCCCTGCTCAGTGCTTTTGAGAGGCCTCCCAGGTGGTCGTGCCATGATTTGGGATTCGTGGTGTCAGGATGAGTTAGTGTGATGAGGCTCTTTGCTGTGGCCTCGGGGACGTTTCTCTGAATCAGCAGGCTGTGCAGTCGAGTCCCAGCAGGCCTGTCAGCGCTCAGCATACCTCTGTCTGTGATAAGGTTACCTACGGTTGGAGAGCAGCGTTATCATCAAAACAATAAAACAAACCTCCGTCTGGTGACAAAGATCGATCAAACTGTTGATGAACGCTCACGGCACTAAACCTTTATCTTGATTTTTACCAGCAGCTGACACCATGAATTGATCAGGAAAATGTGAAAGAGGTGAGCAAGGAATTTCTCACTGACATTAACCCCATCGTTAGAAATAATGCAGGTTTGAAGCACGTAATCATCGGCTTCACTTTGAGATCTGTAGGCTACAGCCAAGATCCAAAAGCCATGAAATCCAAGTAAACTAGCAGTGAACAGGAGAACGATAGAAACTCCAAAACAGGAAAGACTCCTTAGAAAGTCAGACTAAAGGACCAGATGAAGTCGAGACAAAATGAGGAGCAGAAAAATGGTTTTCAGTGTCTTTAAACTGACTTTAATGTGCACTCATTTTTATAAAACTAGGTTAGAATAAACCTCTAATCATTTAAAACAACACTGACACTTATAAACGTTCCACAAATGCAGTTTATGAGATGCTAATTCATTTTATTTATTTCACATCAACAGTCGGCTCAGGGCGCACTTTATTGTAAGCTAAAACCCCTATAGTAACACAGATAATCAGACAACCCCTGTGAGCAAGCACTTTGGCGACAGTGAGAAGGAAAAACTCCCTTTGAACAGGAAGAAACCTCCTGCAGAACCAGGCAGGAAAGCAGTCCTACATATTTGTGCATGAACTGAAGAACGTTTCCTGATCAAGGTCCCTCACAGTGTTACCAGAGGCCGATGACCATGCCCTCCAGAGTGAGCAGAATCTACCAGCCGTCAGCATCAGTAGACGTCATCCTCTGAGGACCATGAATGCCATTATAACATTTCATGACGGTGCATTGACCAGGTGATATTTCAGTGAGCACTGCAGTCGCTGTTAAGACTCAGACGTCTCTGTGCAGTCACACCGTCAGCATGAGTAATGCTTGAGCTAAAAATAAAACGACAGGTCATCGTCGCTTTTTGGCAGGTTGTTGTTGTTGGTGGAGTTTTTCTCGGAATGAGCTCTTATTGTTTGATTGTGTGATTTAAGAGCGCAGCCGGGCCCGACTGACTGGCTGGCGCTCTCTTACGTAACAATGCTGGAACAAAAACAAGACACAGAGCTTACTTCATGTCCTCGTCTCACTCCTGGCTCATTATTTTTCAAAACGTCAGCACTGTGCCCGATCTGAACTCTGCAAAAACCACAAAGCCACATTCAGTCAGGTCAAAGTGAACAAGGCTGGGCTCTGTGGACCAGCAGCATTTTAAACACACACCTTTCACCAGCTCAGAGTGACGCTGACATGCTGCTCTGCAAACAAACATTTTTACTCCTGTGTCAAACAGAGTGTGAACGACAGCCGTGTAACAATGAGTCACCGATGTGTCTAAACCTGTTAGTTTCTCTACAGAATCAAAGCACAACAAATGCTGTCTCAATTTTAGTCATATTTCAGTTGCAGCTGGCAGCTTTTCATTCACAGTGAAGCCCAAACTCTTCGCCCACTTATCCACCTCCTGCAGCCATAGCTGGACTGGCCATCGGCCCACCGGGCATTTGCTCGGTGATTTGATTTTTTGTTTTTATGGGCCGATGATTTTTTATTTTATTTTATTTTTTTATAACAGTATAAACAGTGAAAGGTGGTGTATTGGCCAGATGCTGGCAGATGTGTAAAAACAACTCAGTTGTTTGGTGGTGGCTGTGGC